GTTTTGTCTATCACTTTCGTATCGATAATTAGAACTCCATTAGAGCCCTATATTACTTTAAATGATATGAATACTTGCGTAGTGCCCCTATTGTGTAATCCTTTTTATTAATTTTATAAAATATTTACACACTAGCCGCTAAATATAAATTTGGTTAGGTTTTTGGCCATATTTATGATATAAAATAATTACATAAATGTGAGTCAGATCAACCGCTCATGGATCAGATTCTGACCAAGGATTGTTAGACCAGCAGTGTGCATGTCAGTTGTGCTACACATCACACGATGGAGCCAGCGACAAAGTCAGACGACTTGACCACTTTCTCGACTCTTTGTTTCTTTTGGACCACTTGCTTGACCAACTTCTCTCCTTCCTATCGGCTCCCTCCTCCTGGCCTCTTTGAGCCGACTGGCCGACCTACTTCTTCCGGCCTCATTGTTGTTACCAGTCATCCCTCCTTCCTTGGCTTTATCTTTAGTACCAGTCGGCTACTCTCTGGCTTCTTTTTCTTTTATGTGTTCTTGAGGAAGCGGGGATTATCATTTGAAAATTTGAAGGCCTTCATTTTGGCGACCTCATTTATAGTTTTCTTACTACTCGTCATAACTCTTCTATTAGCAACTGATTCAATGGGAAAAAAATTCAAAAGATTTGATAGAAAACTATTGATCTCTCCCTATTTATAAGGATTGTGGGCACAAAAATCCTAAAAGTTTAATCAGTAAGTATATAAGTGACTTTTTACATTTAATTCTCTTATTTTTAACATAGTTGTCACTTTCAAAAAAAATCAAAAACTAAACTACATATCAAAAATATGATCACAATAATCTCGAGGAAATCCGATGAATCACGCTTATGAAAACCAAAGAACTGCATCGGGATAGTCAAAATACGAAAACACCAAGTGTCGTTTCATCTGGCTGGAACTCGAAGCCGACTGAACAGAAGCACAGCCGATCAAATGAATAGAAGGCATCTAATCCACGGAATAGTCGTTCATGACCAGCTCCCTTAACTAATTCCGAAATCCTTCAGAAGGATGGCCAAGGGCACCCAACAAAGCACCTTTCTAATTCTCAAAGAATGATACTTATCTAAGGAGAGCTGCTCTCCAGATTACGATAATGCACCATCTTCATGAGAACCCAAATTCACTCGAATGACAGAAGACCTCTACTCAAAATTCCATTAAGAGAACCGACCGATGATCTTTCAACCGATAGAATGTATGTCGGCCAACTAAAAGCTTTTAGTCGATCAAATGAAATCTGACCAACCAAAAGCTTTCAACTGAACGGATGACAAGATTAACTGGACATTAAATGCCACTCTATAAACATTTTTAAATACGAAACAATGCTAATGTTAGCTATGAATATAAAATTCTCGAAGTGAGCTACAAATATAAAAAGTTTTATAAGGACTATAGCATCCCTATTAAAACAAAAATATAACTAAAATTTTACTAAATATCCCTAGAATCTATTAATAAGAAGTCATTTCTCCAACAAAGTATTATTGGATTTATTTTCTCAAAACTTATATTAATGCGCTCTTAATCCTTCTTTCAATCCGTCTTTAATTCTCTAGTCCATACCTTAGATTGACATTTGGATTCAACACTGCCAAACATTTACTCGTAATTGGGGCAAATTATTCGTGATATATGAGGCTAATTTATTTATTTATCTGTGAAATGGTTTGCCTTTTTTCAATCTAAGTTAAAACATTCCAAAAGGCTATCTCAGGATCAATGCGTCATTTTGATCCGAAATTTAATATCACAGTGTGACCCATTTGTTCAAATAAATCGAGAAGTCAGAACAGCCAAAATGAATCCTTAAAAGTTCCCTACTAAACTTACTTTGACAAAAGATTAGATCAAGACAAATAATAATAATAATAATAATGAAGAAGAAAAGTGCTCAATAAATCATCAAATATGTGAAAAATCATTCTTGGCCACAAATTCTTTCATAGTTAACGTCACCAGAAATATTTTTAACAAATATATAATAAAAACATATACTCAACAGCTGCGAAGAACACCTTTTGGGTAGACCTTTGTTACAGCCTAACCCTCATGACAGATGAAAGACCGCTATGATGTTTTGACCCTCACCACTTGGACTTGGGTTGTTCTTATAGCCTCATCAAACTTACATGGGCCATTAGTTAGCGCTTCAGCTAGTGGAAGTGGCCCGTATCCAGTTGGTGCCTCTAGGTACTCGATCATGTCGCAATAAGTTCCTCAATAAGGACAGTGTTAATCGTCCTTGAGGAATCCATAGTGAGGGCCACGTTGTTAGTGCTCATCAGAAGCATTCCTTGGGGGAGATTGCCCTGGGCATCTAATCCCTTTCACTCCATTCCCCAACTTGTTTGATCCTATACACCATGTCGGAGGAAGTGTTGTGTTCACTATGGTCTATGTTTCCATAGTCTGCCCATGAGGATTTTTCAATTCCCATGGAGTATCCCCAGTGGAATCGTCTTCTATTAGGTGTTTGACAAAAGCCCCTTCTACAGGTTGGGCTACCTCAATCTTCCTTAAACAAGGATTACTAATCTAATAGCCTTTGAGAAAACCCAGATGAGGGTCGCTTCGCTAAAGCTGGCAAAAGCAAGTCATTGATGAACTAGTGTACTCATTCAACCCCTGAGGTCTGATTACTTTGTGATACATTTCCAATAGAAATTTCCTCATTATCTCGGGGAATCCCTAGTGAGAATTTTTCTTGATAGATTCCTAACAAAGGTATCACGCAAGGGTTGGACCACGCAGTCCATTTGATCCATGTCAGCAATACGGCTAACTTAGGTAATCTGTTATCTTCCCAGTATACATGTTGTATAAGTTAGAGCATTCGCTCAAATAGCCGATTTGTGCCTAGCTGGGATCATCGATACCCGATCAGATTGTGACATTTTCTTCCACAATGACTACTTTGTTCGTTCTTGAGGAAATCCGCAACAGGGTTGCTGAGTTATAGCTTACAAAAAGCACCGCAATGTTGGACTGTCTCAAGCATCCAACCCCTTATATACCTCTTTGGTATTTTGATCGACTCGGTCGACTTTGTTCTCCATGTTGAAAGATGTGTCTTATGAACTTAAAGCCTTTGTCTTTTAGGTTGATCAATGTATGGTCGGGATATCTTTATGATCGTGAAAATCCCCAACGAAAACCATCCAGTGGGTACATTCAAAAATCACCACTATGGTAGGCCTACCTGGTTTTTCTGGCCTCTTTAGCGATTCATGTTCACTTGGCTCACTCTACTCGCCATGTCGGAGCGTATGACACACTATTCGAGCCTTATTTCATGCTCAATTGGTCCATGCCTAAGTCGGGTATTCTCATGCCCGCAAGAAAAATCCCTTGCGAGGGTCACTTTATCAAAGCCTGCAAAAGCGTTGCGAAGTTGGATTGTCTTGTTCATCTTACTCCCTCATATACCATGTTTGATTAGGTTGATCTCATCACCTTGTCATTAGACACGCCGCATTTGTTAAGCCACCTCAGCTATCCAACTGATTTGTGCCAGATCGTGATGTCCTTGCATCTGATAACCTCGAGGAAGTCCAACGAATCATGCTTATGAATACCAAAGAACTGCGTCGGGAGAAGGAAACACCAAGCGTTGTTTCCTCTAACCGGAACTCGAAGCCGACCAAACAGAAGCGCGTGCAATCGAATGAATATAAGGCACCTAATCCATAGAACAATCATTTATGATTAGCTCCTTCAGCCAATTCTAAAATTCTTCACAAAGATGACTAAAGAGCACCCAACGACGCACATTTCTGATCCTCAAAGAATGCCTCTTATATGAGGAGAGTTGCTTGTCAGATTACGGCAATGCATCATCTGTCTGATGGCCCAAATTCACCCTAACGACGATAGGCCTCTACTCAGGATTCTATTGGGAGGAACAATCAATGATCTTTAAACCGACAGAATATAAGCCGACCAAGTAAAAGCTCTTCACTAATCGAATGCAATCCAAACAACCAAAAGATTTCAGCCGAACGAATGATAAGATTAAAAACCATTTAATGCCTCTCTTTGAATAGTTATAAAATACGAAAAGATACCAAAGTTAGCAATGAATATAAAAATCTTGATGTCAGTTACAAATATAAAAAATATAATGAACACTTGTTACATCTCAATTAAAACAAAAATATACATAAAATTTACTAAAATTAAAACAAAGAATCTAAGAATTTATAAATAAGAAGTCATTTCTCCAATAAAACACTTCTGAATTTATTTTCTCAAAACTTATATTATTGTGCTCTTAATCCTTCTTTCAATCTCTCTCTGTTTCTCTAGTCCAAATGTTGAAATCATTCATGATTTATGAAGCAAAGCTATTTATTTATCTCTGAAATGGTTTGCCCTTCTTCAACCTTCGTTAAACATTCCAAATAGAAAGGTTATCCCAGAATCAAATGCATCATTTTGATCAGAAATTTATTACGACGGTGTGACCCATTTGTTCAAATGTGGATAAGCCTGAACAGCCAAAACCAATCCTTACAAGTTCCCCGCTAGAATTACTTCGACAAAAATATTAGATGAACGCATAAAATAATAATAATAATAATGGAAAGTGCTCAATATTTTATGTTTTCTCGGCCACAAGTTCCTTCATAATTAACGCCACCATAAATATTTTAAACAAATATATAATAAAAAATATAATCATCTGTCATCAAGAACTTGAACCAAAAGCCAAAGTTTCGGAGCCTCACAAGCAAGCATGCTAAATCATGTAAAAATCTAACATCAAAACTTCAACCAGAAAGGCGATGATAAAATTTCATCATTACAAAGGGAAAAGGCACAAATAAGAGAAGAAAACATAAAATCACTCCACATCTCAAGGTGTCAATTAACATTTCTTATAAAGAGAGAGATCTACCAAAAGGACATAAATAGAAGAAAGGTTAAAATCATCGGCGTGAAAAAGAAAAAAAAAATAAATAAGAGAAGAAAACATAAAATCACTCCACATCTTAAGGTGTCAATTAACATTTCTTATAAAGAGAGATCTACCAAAAGGACATAAATAAAAGAAAGGTAAAAATCATCGACGTGGAAAAGAAAAAAAAAATTAAGGCTTCATTTCCTCTTCATCATCTTCAATTTTTGGAGCCAAATAAAATCTAATATAACCCATATCTGCAATTTTGTACTCGATGACCAGCGGCAGCTCAGAAGAAAGGCTCATTGTAACAGCCTCGGAGAGTGAAGTGGCTTTGGTAAAAGAATTCAGATATCTCAGAGCGAAAGTTAAGCTTACGGGCTCATTCATCTCAATGATAGTAGCTTCCTCTGGCTGTTAAAAACAAAAAAAAAATTAGAACAATTAAGATCTGAATAAAGATTTTGTCTGCAAAGACAAACCAACACACTGAAATATGTTCTACAAGTTTCATGTTTAGAGATGGATATGAAAAATGCAAGAGCATAAATTGGTGAAGCTTAGCTAGAATTCTAATGCACTAATTTGAAATAGAAATATTTGCATACGTAACACTAAATTCTTATGGGTTTACATATCTAAACATCTAAACTTTATTTTATTACATATGTGCCACCTTACCGATACGTAAAAAGGTGTATTCACTTTTTAAAAGTTAAAATAGAGGCCCTTTTAGCCAAATTTAGTTTTAAGTAGAGCATTAATTTGAAATGATAATTCCTTGCTCCTGTTTATTAAATTTGAATTCAATTCAATCAGCTTCGTTATCACAATTCAGTGCAACTGGAATGAAATATAATTTAAATCAGATGGATTAATATGATGGGTAAAAATAAGCTTTAAAAGAAACAATCCAATACCGCATGATTTATTAAATTACTGGGAAAAGGCAACATACAATAAAATGTAAAACTCAAATCAAGTAGCTGCTAAACATCAAAATAAGCTATAACATACAAAAACAAAGATATTCGAGTAAATTCATTTATATGTTTGAACTTCAAAAATAATTAAATTCGAACAGGTAATAATCAAGAAAGGAATTCATTTGACATTTTGTTCAACAAGTATATTTCTCCACAGTATACTGCCAACTTACAGCCATAAACTTTGACCAAAATGATGAAATTGAAAACAACACAGTTCTACTCAGGCTAAAACAACTGTTGCTCAAAAAATTCATTCACTAGCAAAACTTGAGATATAATAAAAACAATTGCTACACTCCCCCAATAGATCCATACATAACAAGTGCCTTAATTACATAGAGGTGTATTAATCAATACTAAAAAGACATGAGTGCATGTATTTTCAGTGCATGCTTCATTGTTTTGTTTGATATAACTTTTTATCAAAATAGCATTTCTAAAAATATAAATATTTTAGTTGGTTATAAAAATCTTTGAAATATATATATAAGAATTTAGTGGATATAAGACTTTCAAGATACTCAATAGATTATCATATGCAAGGATTGTTAACATAAAATATTAATATCTATATACAAGTTCCTTAGCATAAAAACAATACGATGTTGAATATACTGACATTATCTCAAACGCCAGACCATCGAACCAAATATAAAATAAGCAAAGATCACTAATTTAACATTTTTAATACCATTGATCAATAAATTTGAATTTAATCACATCAATTTCCATATGGGCTTCTAGTGTGGCCCCATTTTATATGAATTAATTGGGGTTTAAGTTAAAAGAAAAGACATTCAAATAAATTGTTTAACTTGATGAGAATGTTATGGAGTAGACCAATATATGCAGGTACCACTTTACTAAAACCAACATAAAATAAGCGAGCAATAAACAATAAAAAAATATTTGAGCAGTATTTGAGATTTCAATATTAGTATCCTGAAGCAAGCAAACCATTTCTTAAAAATATGCAAATGCATAGAAACTAAAGACATGCCTACAATCAAGAAACATAAATTATAAACAATATTTACTAACAAAACAGTGTTTAAATAACTAATGAACAAGTAAATGTTTAACCTTAAGATAAAGTTTATACCTTGAATACAGATTGTAGAACTTTTACAAAACTGCAGAGGTAGAAAGTGAATTTTTTTAAAAAATAATGAGATTGAATACTATAACTATTCATAACGTAATTTCCTAATAACATAGGAACTCTATTGAAATAGAACACAAATAAGGAGGTACATATATGGAGGAAATGTAGCTATGAATCAATGTGCACAACTTACAAGATTCTATTTTTAAATCAATCTTGACTAGGTACACAAGTTCTAAAAATAATCTTACATAAGAATAAAACACAGAGCTTGAGAGACTAGAAACATGTCATGGCTAAAAATTCTGATTTGAAAAAACAATAACTTCTATAGAAATTGTTATCCATACTGAACAAAAAAGTTTTTTCGCGGTAAAAAAATTATTAAGTTCTAATGCTGAAATGAGAAATATTTTTGCAGTGGCAAAATCTGTTGGCCCAACAAAAAGAAAAAATATATTTGTAATTTACAATTCAATTAAGCATGCGGACTGAAGAAATGTATACCTTATCAACAGTCTTATTCTGCCTACAGACTATGTTCGCAGTTCCAATATCCCCTCTGGTAGAGAATTTAACTCCCTCCTTGGTAACTGAAATAACAACTGTATAAACAAGCCAAAAAATTTATTAGATGATGAAACCAGCAACAGATTCTGCCCTGTAAAAGGCTTTGTAGCTTCTACAATAATTTTTACCAGTATCTCCTATGCTGCTGAGATCCTTACAAATTCTTGCAAATTCTGAAGACGGCATCTTCACAATTGCATGATATTCTGCCTCTGGAATGCCTAGATGTTCGCTGTCAATGTCCATAAGCTTCATCTCAAAATCTGAAATCTTATCTTGTTCTGCTCAATAATCGAGAGCAAATTAGATGAGCTCAACAATATGAACTGACGGAATGATTGTATTAAAAAAATATAATTAGAGTGAGAACGGCATAAATCGACAAAGAATAACATGAGAACAAAATTAAGTGCTTTAATAAAAAAAGCTTCAATGTTCGATCAAATAACGAGAAGTTTATACATGCCGGAATAGAAAAGATCGTTCAACAAAATAACCAACGAAAAACAATGGTAGAAGAAACGAAACAGAGCATGCAAGGCGACGTATAACCCCAAAAAAACAAAAAAGAAATCACGTAAATAAAATCCACCAAATAGAACTATTAACAGAAAATTTTCAGAAAAAAGGGAACAAAAAAAGACCGGAAAGATTTCTCCTTACTAGGGCTCTCGAACATGAAAGTGACAGTGTCGCTACCATCGTCGCCCTTGATGGTGATGATATCATCGTTTCCAGCGCATTTCAGCATCTTAGACATGTTGTTGAGGTTCATCCCCATAGAGATGTTTCGATCGCAGCGGTAGTGCTCGAAGCCCTCGGATCGGAGGAGGAGAGCAACGAGGGCGACATGGCTCGAGTCCATTGCTTGGAGGGAGAACCCCGTCGCCGAGCAATCGAAGTTAGCATCGGTCACCAGATCCTTGATCGCCTCGATGACCTTCTTCAGAAGACTTCCCTGCACTAGCCTAAGCTCCAACATCCTCCTTGCTAGGGTTGCTTCGAAGACAGGTTTCCTTGGCTCTTTCTTTTTCGCCTAAACGAGAGTGGGTAGGGTTTGCCGGGGTTTGTGGAAAGGCGCGGAGCTGTAGAAATGCGAGTTTCGGTGGATAATGGCGGGGGTAAAAGGGGGAGTTTCCG